CCATTATACTTTATTTCTCTCAAGAACTCTTAATCAGCATACTTTTTCACCCCCAGGAGGTACACCGGATTATAATTTATTCCCACTTCATTCATGCCACTTAACAGCCTGCAGTTACAAACTTGGAAATAACCTGGGAATCTATGTCCAGCCTCTCCGCTCTGAAGACTGGGACCTCTTAATTGCTTCATGAGACACATGGTTCAATCACTGCTCCCTGTGATATCACTTTAGAATCATTTGGCACCATCTGACACTGGAGTCATTTGTAAACAGTGCCATGATGTGGCAGAAGAGGGAGTGGACGAGGATGTTGATGTAGACCTTGGATTTGAAGGGTGACCAGGATTAGACAAAACTGTGCAGGATGTTCCTGAGAAAGAAAACCTTATATTTTTGAAGGTCTGTCCCTTACCTAGGCTGAATTGGGAAACCCATCCAAAGGCCACTTTAGTGTGAGAGTGACATTTGGCATATGCCCTGGTGTTGTCTCATTTCTATGTGTTTGTCTCTTGGGTTGTATAATACCTATTTTGGAGGTGAGACCAAATCTTACTCTTCTTTGTTTTCACTAAATTCCTTCCCAGGACCCACCTGTATGGACATTATTGTGCATGTTCTGAAGAGCCTTTTCCAGAAATGAGAGGACAGCCAATAATATGTCTTTTAGTACATGTCATCCTTTCTCATTTATTTATTGATTTTGGGGGCCACATCTGACTGTGCTCAGGATTTACTCTTGGTGGAGCTTTAGGAGACCACATGGGGTTCTGGGGATCAAGCCCATGTTCAGCTTCATGTAAGGCAAGTACATACCCACTATACTGCTTTCTGGCTTCAGTCCTTCTTTCAATTCCCTTCCCTTCATTGTGTATCAGTGACTGGGGTCACACACAGCCTGGACAGGGGTGCCCACATCCTCAATCATGGCACTTGTTTGGGGTTTGTAAGTGTTGTGTAAGTGGTCCACTGGGAGTCCTACTCATAAGCTCTGGTCTGCACATTCGGGTTGTGTTGCTCATATTTGTCAAGGACTCAAGCTTCCTGGCTGGGGTGTTTGAGGTGGATGCTCAGGGAGGAACTCCCCCCTTTAGTGGTGGTACTCACAGATGTTGGCGGTAATGTGGTTGGACACTGCTCGGGAAATTCAAGCTTCTGGGCTCAGTCAGTAGAGTCAGTCTCAGTGTTTCACTGGGTCTCACTCCAGCATCTGTGTATCACTCACCGTTACACTGGGATTCGATTCAGCCTGGCCTGAGTATCACACTTGCAAACCAAGATTTACAAAGCAGGTCTGCTCCAAGTCACAAAGCTACCCTTGAGCCTCACCTCTCTTTTTCCACGCTGCAACTATCAATAGAATAGCTATTGGATATCAATAGGAAAGATATAGGCTTGTGGGAGCTCAACTTCCTAGCCAGAGTCATGTAGCGTCTGTGACATTTGGAGCATCAGCACAATACCTAGCATATACTAATAGCATATCATTGTGCATTGTGTAAGATACTCACTGGACACTTGCCAAAGAACCACCTCTGCAATGGTAATCAAAGGCTACTTATTTGGAATTTGAGAGATGCTTTCTTTCAGGGAAAGTTCTTGGAAATAGTTACCTCTGTTTCCTTGGGGAGTATTTATCCATCTTGAACAAAATCTGGCCTGAACATGGTAGAATGTTATGGGCACTTTAGTGAGGGGTAGTAACGGTCTATCCAAACCTTAGACATTAACACTATTGTAACCATGTCATCTAAACTATAGTGATCATAATGCTGCTGCTGATAATAATAATAATAATAATATCTGTCCAAATGACTGTGTGCCAGTTATTTTGATTGTTTTCTTCATCTCGGGAGAAGTTTGACTTAGTAGATACATGGTAGGCAATGATCTCACATGGGAAATATTGAGCACCTCATAGACAGGGCCATAGTTATTTGTAATGGTGCTGTTTTTGAAAACCCAATAATCCTTCACCTGGCTTTCCCCTCGAGAGTGCTAACTTCTGAGAGTAATCATTCTGAACACATTCTCCCATCTGAGTTTACACTCCCTCACCTGGCACAAACATGTTTTTGTTGCTTCTCCCACCCCACACCACTTCTGCCCCCTAAAAAAAAGCACACACAACTTTGGCTTTAATTAGTGTCTGCTTCAAAATTCTATTCTTCTCTAAGATCTCTACCGCCCTTGAGAATGGTAAGCAAAGAGTACTTAACAAATGGAAGAGATTAAGCTCTTCCAGTCTCGCGTGGTTTTATAGCTCTGGCTCCTTCTCACCTTAGCAACTGCATCCGTTCATGGCCAAGTGTGAGTTAAGGTTCACAAGCCCCGACCCACACCCCTCTCCTTCCTTCTCACCTATTACTTCCCCCTTCCACGCTCCATCTGCCTGTTGCTTTGCTGTGTAATCAGGATAAAATGGAAACTCCCCGCCACGGATGAGAAGGTCATGCATGACATAGCCCCATCCGCCTAACTTTTATCCCCTCCTTATTTCTCTCCTTGACAATTTTCCAAGCCTTTAAATAAGCCTAGCTCTATTGCCTCTTGGGGGTTTTACACCTGCCAATTGTTTCATTGTTTTGATCTCACTCGAATGTCTCCTCCTTTGAGATTCTGTAATTGCTCTAACCAGTTATCTCTATCACCTGCCCTGCTGTATGTACTGTTCACACTACTGTAGCAGTTTGGAATTATTTTACACTTACATCTTGTCTCTTTAATGATTGTGTGTTTTGGTGGCAGAGAATGTCTGGTCCTTTTGGACCAGTGGATTTCTAAAGAGCACAGTCATTTTTGTGTGGGGGGTCACACTTCTGACCATCAAAGCTGATGCTGCCCAGTGAATGAACTGCAGTTTATGGGCTAGTAAGCCAAAATGTATTTTTTTCCTTGCCCAGAGACAAGTAAATACATTTTAGATGTTCCTCTTTCATGGTTTATTCCTACCAGAAGTAAGAGCAGGTCAGGACTCTGTGGTTTCTGGCGCATGGTTTAGAGGGAAACATCAAAGAATTTAATGCTGTGTCACTTAACAATTTTATTACCTTAGCTGACATGCACAGATCAGTCACTTTTTGGATCGAGTTATGAGAAGACCTATCAATTAAAATGTGTATGTATTTTAGCCACAAATACTTATTTTCTACATAACACATTTTAAGTAGCGAAACTTTCTCCAAACTAAAAACTACCAGAGTCCAATACCCCTATCTATAAAGTGGGCTGATGATTGGAGGTGGTATTTACAGAATCTACAAGCACTCTCCACCAGGCACCCTATCTTTGGCCCCTCCAGGTAAGACCGGAACAAGCATTTCAGGCACCCAACCCAGCCCAAGCAAGGTTGGAAAAATCACTCATCTTAGCCTAACTGCTTCTTTTGGGAAACTGACCCCAAAAAACAAACCAGCTAGAGTTACAAAACTTTTGATCACAAGCAGGCTAAAACCCAGCTCCGTGAATTCTGTTTCTCTGTATGCCTGAAATAAAAATGCTGTGGAATCAGACTTGCTCTGATTAGCATGAGTCATTCTCAGTTAGAGGGAGAGGAAATTTGGGATTTTCAGTGTCTTGAGGCCTTGCTTGGAATTCCATTGCTTCTCCAAGAAATAGAATGATTCTCTCTCCTCGTTTAGAATTCACTGGGAGCTTGTCTGTCTTTGTTTATTTGTTTTTGGGTCACACCAGCGATGCACAGGGGTTAATCCTGGCTCATGCACTCAGAAATTACTCTTGGTGGTGCTCAGGGGGCCACATGGGATGCTGGGGATCAAACCCGGATCAGCCTTGTGCAAGGCAAATGACCAAGCTGCTGTGCTATTGCTCCAGCCCCCAGGAGCTTGTCTTTAAAGGTGGAAATGGGGTAACTTATTAAAACACAGTTTCATAATGACTTTATTGCACGCATTTTCATGGACCAGAGAACTTTTAACTTTAGGACTCAACTTCTCATTTGTAAAAAGGGATGGAACACTGATCAAGAATTATATTTCTTGGCTCACCATAACCATGTCGCCAGCCCCCACTCAGGGCACCTCGGAGAGGGGTGGGTGAGACCCCCATCCCTGTCCCAAGGGATCCTCCCCAACAGCCGAAAACTTCCACAACTCAGCTGCCACCATACTCATGGCTGCTCTCCACAAGCTCGAGCTGAGTATCGAGTGCATTTATTCCTGGACCATGTGGCCACATTTGCAGCTGCATGATACTTCAAACCACATAATTTACCCATACTCCAGGATTATTGCGCCACATTTGATAGGGTTCAAGGTAGGAGGCAATCAATCTTTAGAGGGAAATATATATATGTATATATATATATATTTTAAACATATATATAAAGCTCATATATATGTATATATTTTAAATATATATATAATATATATATATTTATATATATATATATATAAAGTTCCTTCTATTAGTGATCTCTTACAGAAGGAGTTAATGGTCCCTGGGTGAAATACATCAATCCTCACACTCTTTCCTCTAAGGATACTTTTTTTCTAGCATTCTCAGCAGTTTTTCATAACAAACAATACAAAATATATTATTTCAGTTCTGCTTTGGGGCAGGGAATTGGGGTTTGGGATGGAAACATCCAAAGTGGGTGGTGGGATTGGTGTTTGAATATTAAATATTGTGAACTGATTTATAAAATAATTAAAAAAGAATTATATGTCTTCTTTAATTGAATATAAAAATATTTGGGGGCTGGAGAGTGAGTACAACGGATAGGGCCTTGTACACTGCAAACCGGGGTTTGATCCCTGCACCCCAAGGGTCCCCTGGGCACCACTGGATGTGGCACAAAATCCAAAAAAAATTATTTCTAAGTGGAAGCCCTGGTTAGAAATAACTGACTTGACTGAATAGGTAGATCATGGTTCCACCATTGCTCAGTCTTATCGTAAACAGGAGCTCAGAGCCCAGTGCAGTATTTGACAGCAGATGCTTCAATTGTCTCTGGGAATGAATTTCTGAGATGTGTGCTGTGCTCTCTAGCAGAGATAGTTCAAAAATATATCAATTTGGTTTTTAACAACAAAGTCAGGGGGGTGGACAATGTTCGTGCCATATGCAATGGTAATATCCCAGGCATCAATGATGCTCACATTGAGATCCCGGAAAATGTCTTTTATGGCCAGATGATTGATGTAACCATGGAAGTCTGTAAACCGCTCCACGTCAAGGTTCAGCTCCCGGGTATTTTCTGCCTTGATGAACACCTGAGTGTCGGGGCTTCGCAGGAGAAGACGCTGGACAGCTTTGCGGACGTTGAGGGCCCTTCGGATAAAAATGTCAATGGGGAAGGGTCTGAAATGCTGGCCCAGAGAGATGACGATGACAGTGTCTTTGCCGCCTCCAGTCCTGTCAATGGCCCGGGCCATGTACTCCATCTCTTTGACAGAATAGGTCATGGAGCCAATCAATGGGTAACTGTGTTTTTGCCACTGGATGTTGATGTTCCTGTCCAAGTCCACAGCAAGTTGGTTTTTTAGTTTCCCAGATTCGTGCAGATCCACTGACTTAAGAGCTGATGACAAACAGATCACCGGACAAGGAAAAGTGAGGAAAGTAACGAGAATCATACAGATAGAAGGAAAATAGAGGGAAATATAATTTTACATATGAATATATAAAAGCACACAAGGATCAACCCTTAACAATATATTATTATCTCTTATGGAAGGGCTTAATGTCCCCTGGGTGAAACACAACAATCTTCACACATTCTCCTCTAAGAAAAGTTTTATAAAACTATACAAAATAAATTATTTAGGTTCCTTTTTTGGACAGGAGTTGGGGTTTGGGATGCAAACATATGCAATATGGTGTTTGGAAGGTATATTGGTGGTGGTATTGATGTTCAAATGTTAAATGTAATCAAATATTGTGAACTGCTTTATACAAAATAAAATTAAAAAATAAAGAAAATGTCCCATAACAACTTAAAAAAAAGGCAGGGCTTGGTGTTTATGGCAATTAGGGCTGACTTCTTCATGGATGAGGAGTTCTGACTATTATTTGAACAATGCAAAGGGGGATACAAATAAATTATGTGCGCCCTATAGAACCCAGTGAACTGGGAGGTGGTGAGCACTTCTGAAGGTCTTGTTATACAAACTGAGAACTAAGCTAGTTCAAAGATAAAGGAATGAGTGGATGTCTTCACATCTCAGAAAACAAGTAAACCTCTAGCTCCCAAATGTCTAAGACTTCTGAAGCCTGGAATTGAGTTCTATGCTCGCTTCTGTCTTTCCTTTACCTAAAACATAGACTCATACCATACTCATGGTCTATACTACTGTAATTATTCATTACTGAGGGTCTCAGAGTTCACAATGTATTTATGGCATTTGTGTAGATTTGTACAGCAGAGCCTGGCAAGCTACCTGTGGTGTATTCGATATGCCAAAAACAGTAATGATAATGGGTATCATTCCCCTGACCCTGAAAGAGTCTCTAATATGGCAGTCTTGGGAAAGATGAGTAAGGGGAGGCTGCTAAAATCTCAGGGCTGGGATAATTGGAGACGTTACTGGTGCCTGCTCAAGTAAATCGATGAACAGGATGACAGTGATACAGTGTGTAGATTTATTAATTTACCTCAATATTCACTCTCTCCAAGTGTGTGTATATGTGCATGAAAATATACCAAACCAAGAGTTGCAATAATTTGCTTAAGTTCACAAAGCTGGTTTTCAGAAGCTTTAAGATAAATTGACAAAGGGTAATAGGAATAGAGCAAAGGGGAAAAATTCTATCTTCTTTTTTTAGTTTTTGAGCTATACCCAGAAGTGCTATGGGATCACTGCTGGTAGGTTTTGGGGTACCCTATGGGGCACTGGTGATTGAATCCAGTTTAACTGCATGCCAGGCAAGCATCCTGCCCACTACTATCATTCCAACCCATTTCCAGTCTAGTTAATTGTATCCTTACTACATATCAGGTGAGCTGCCTTGTGGTTACTTAAGGCTTTTGAGGAAAATTTGTAGGAAAGGAAAGAAAATACATACAGATCATTAATGCTTTGTAACATGTGTCATCTTAGAGGTAAAGGGATAAATTCAAAATCTTAACCAAGTGAGGTTTTGAAAATAGAGTGGCGGGAGAATTGGAGAAGAAATGGCAGATTTTCTTTCTCTGTGTCCATCATATTTCAAAGTCCTTTTCCAAAGTGCACTGTGGCAAAATGATTGCAGATATTCTGCCTGGTTCTTTGGTATGTTTAATGGCCTAAAAAGAAACCCCTTTTGCTTTGGAATGTGATGCCAAGGCTGTCACCGGGAATTTGAGGTCTTGAGGATCCAGTGACTTTCCAGAGGTCATGTAGTAACAGTCTTATGCTGAGTGATGGGCAGAGCCAAGAGCCACAGCCTTCCCCTGGGTGCTAGGAACTCAGCTTCCTTTCTGGGCCTGAGGTCACTGGAGTGAGAAGGGCGGTGTGGCACCTTAGAGTCAGTGCACTGTCCCCAGGACAAGATGGGTTGTGGGGCAGGTGAGATGATTTCCAAATAAGAAAACGCAAGCCTATGAGTGGATCCTGAATTCTCATTATATGCTTGGTTGAGTGGGAAAGAACCTAGGTGTCCAGCCCCAACTGTTGAATTAATTCATGGTAACCACTACAACAGTCACTGCTTATCAGGCACTTTCCCATGTGCCTACGAACCTTGCAATGTCCTAGTTTAGGACCTGCTCCCTCACAGAATATTCAGAACCCCCCCAACTGCATGTTGACCGATGAGACAAAAAATGAGGCAGAGGAAACCAGTAATATGTGCGAGATCCTGGCTTCCCAGTGGGCATAGTCTCGGTCTAATGGACCCCAAAGCCAATACTTTTATGTGTGTGGGGGAGGGTCTCCCTATTAGTGACTTGGGGGCCTTTGTCGGGATGGACTTGGATCCTGGTGCCTGCAAAGCAGGTGCCCCTGGCAGCTGAGCTCTCTCCCTGGCTTGTGAAGTTGCCACCTCACTCCTGCCTTTTGTTTTTTTCATGCAATGGTATTAGTTCACCCAAGGGGCTGGAGCAATAGTACAGAGGTAGGGCATTTGCCTTGCATGCAGCCAACATGGCCGACCCGAGTTCAATTCCTCCGCCCCTCTCAGAGAGCCCAGCAAGCTACCGAGAGTATCTCGCCCGCACGGCAGTGCCTGGCAAGCTCCCCGTGACGTATTCGATATGCCAAACAGTAACAACAAAGTCTCCAATGGAGACGTTACTGGGCCCGCTCGACCAAATCGATGATCAACGGGAGGGCCTTTACTTACTTACTTTACTTAAGAGAACTTGAAATTGCAAATTGGATTTGAAGTGAACGGCATCTGCTATTTTGATTTATTGGGCGACACCGATAAACATTTTTCATTCTCCTTTCTGCAGATGAAGTAACTGAGGGCCACAATGCTTATATAAAAGTCAGACTTTGATCTCAAGACACCTGGATCCAGAAGCGTGCCCTTAGCTGGAATGCCAAGGGTGGAAAGGTGAATGACAGAGTATCCTCTGCTCTATTGACTTTGAGGGTGGAGGGTAAACAGGAAAGTGTGGATTTCACAGGGATTAGGGTATATTAAACCTTTATTACATCACAATGCCTCCCTTCTGTGAGTTTAGTCATCTTAAAGGAAAGATGGAGATGGTTTGTGTGAACTGTTTGAGGGAGTTAGGAGGAAGATAAGGTGATTGCAATAAGCCTTTGTTCTTTAAATTGGTGGTGGGAAGCCAAGCAAAGCAAGTTTCTGAAAAGGACATGAATATTTAGACTGTACTTACTGTTCATGTTTCTTACAAAGTGCTCCATCCATTGGCGGATGGTGGAATCTCCCAGTAGGAGAATGAACTTCCCTCTCAGGCATTCCCTCAGTGGGATTGGAGCCAGGTGACAGGAGACAGGATTCCATGAGTCTTTCCAGACATGTCCACTGGGCACTGTGGCTGCCATTCCACGCTTGCATTTTTCTTTTACTGGAACTTCTTTATCTAACAAAGAACCAGCATGAGAAAACTGGAGGCTACCCAGCAACATTTTATAAGACCAGATGTTATTTCCTAAGTGTCCTTGTGACCGGGGGTGAGGATGGTGGTACAACTTTGACAAAACATCCTTTTAATGGAATCATTATTTTCCAGTTAATTCTTTTCTGATATGAATCTTCTAAATGATTCCCATTAATGCTCATTATAAGATAACGTGTTTTCTCCTGGCAATGAAGGGGGCGGGGGGAATCTTCTGGGTGAAATTTAAAGAGTTACTTGCCTTTACCCGAAAACAAAGCCATCAATTTTTTTTTTACTAATGAAAACTATCATCTTACAAGCTTGGGGATAAACTGAGTGCTACCACTCAGTTTATAGTGTTTAAAATGCAACCATCAGACTCTAAATCCTTTGAGTTCAATGCAGGGAGTGATGAAAAGTCACTTTTGGTGCGGGAACTGGGCAGTCTAAGTGTCTATAGGGTGAGGCTGAGTCCTGTATGTCAGAGATGCACCAAGATTAACTGGTTAGTCAAGGGTTAAGAGACTGGGAATCCAAGGGACTGAGCTGGCTGGCATAGAGAGGAACATTGGAGGACTCAGAGAGCAATCACTTAGCCACCAAATAAAGTGCTTTACTATTTTAATAGCTGGTATGAATGAACTTGTATATGTTGGGTGAAAAATAGATCTCTAGGGCACAGCATGATATTACAGCAGGTAGGGCCCTTGTTTTGCACATGGCCAACCTCAGTTCCAGATATAGTCCCACCAAGCCCACAAGAAGTGGTCCCTGAACACTGATGGGTGCAGCCCCAAAGCAAAACAAAATTCCATGTATACCTTTAAAGATACATATATAAATAAATATATATATATATATACATATATATAGTATTTCGTGTGAATATAGGTAGGATGAGCAAGGCTATTAATTCTGAATTTAGAAAGACAATCTCATGCCTTAATCATGAGAACATTGTTGGTGGGGGTTGGGGGAGCAGGTGTCTCCCAAGAAGTGCTCAGGATCCCATCAAGTGATTCTTGACCAACTAGGTGGGTGGTCTAGTGCAAGGACACAAAAATGTGATGCTTCTTTGGCCCTGCAATGGAAGGAATAAAATTGGAGTTGCTGCATGGTCAAGCAGATGCCTTAATCCCTGTACTATCTTCTCAAGTGCCTTAAATCATTTTTGTTATGGATTTCCTAGGCTATTTGGAGGTGGAAAAAATAAAAAAGAATTATGAGTATGGGGGCTGGAGTGATAGCACAGTGGCTATGGCGTTTGCCTTGCATGCGGCCGACCCGGGTTCGATCCCCAGCATCCTATATGGTCCTCTGAGCACCGCCAGGAGTAATTTCTGAGTGCAGAGCCTGGAGCAACCCCTATGCATAGCTGGGTGTGACCCCAAAAGCAAAAATAAATAATAAAAATTAAAAAAATTATGAGTATGGAGGTGCAAAAATAGGTAGAAAGGTGGCAAATAACAAAGGGGGAATGAATCCGTGCAGAGATGGGGTCACTCTGATGTGCAGTGGTTGATGGTGATGACGTGGGAAGGTGATCGAGGGGAACCCGGGGAGAGAGTTTTGACATGTGAAGACTGTGTTAGATAGGCAGGTATGCTGTTGTCTGTTAAGTTGATTATTGACGAGAGTTTTGGTTATCAAAGCAGGGGAGTGATCTCACTCACTGACTTGGATATTTGCCCATCAAAGGCAAGCCTGCTGAGCAGAGTACCAAGAGGTGAGGAACAGGGAGGAGCTGCAACTGTAGGTCACACCTAAGGGGATCTAGCCCAGGGTGTGGAACTCTTTTTCTGCCCAGAGCCATTTGGAATAGTTATAACAACATTCAAAGACTCTACAACACAGGAAGATGGGCTGGGAGCAGCTGGCATGGGCCAGAGTCAGACATGATTTTGTGTCTGGCCCTGGTCCTGCAGGCTGGATCTTGATCTCCTGTGCTATAGGACCGAACACACCCCCCTAACACCAGGCAAACTTACTACTGCATGTGGAGACGTGAATAGTGGTGTGACTGTCCATGATCTCTACACCTATATTTGACCTGAAAAAGACAGGTATAGAAATTAATTTGCTGATGGTTCCAAAGCTCAGGAAATGAATGAAGTCATGTTATCCATTACATTAACTTCTTACCAAGTTACTTCTTGGTAAGAAGTGACAACTATGCCCATAGTTCTAGGCCATTTAGCACATTCTTACTTCTCTGCCATTTAGTACAGATACTCAGAAGGCATGGAAGACAAGTGGTTTCAGAGCAGGAAGAACATGTGGAGGTTACCTTGACTTACTGTGGCTCATCCTTTGACTCTCAGATGACATGAAAGCCATGGGCATTCAGTAGAAACTCTGGCCAATGACCACACTCAGTGTATCTATCTAGATCATCCTCTTAAATTTTAGTATTTCTAACTTTTTCCCTTTCAATGAGGATTAAATGCTCCAAAAGTTTTAGGGGTTTCTAGAGATGGGGCATGGTCCCCAATGAATTCAGAGTCCAAAAATTGATTTGGCACTTTCCTTTCCTTTAGGGCAAAAAGACCCCCATCATTGGATTTATGGGTCTCCAAGATACTTACAATTTAAAGAGGCTCTTCTCTTGTTGGCTGAGATAAGAAACGTCCTTGTTTTTGGAATGCATGTGGGTGAGTGCTGCGCAGGGCAGACCTGGTGGCTTCACACAGTAGAAGGCTTCGTGGTCTCGGACATCCAGATACTCACACAATTCTGCACTTGAGTTTAAAGCCAGGCCACATACAGTGCTGACAGAGGAAGTCCCGCTGGCAAACTGCCCCATGAAAATCACCTTGTCATAGCCTTGGTTCCTGGCCCTCCAGAGAGCCGACACACCTTCGCTGGGGTGGATGAGCAGGACAGACAGGGAGGCCGGGCCCTCCCAGAACAGAGTGAAGCTGACCAGATATGTGCCATTGTGGAAATCGGTCACATTCCCTGAGGCACCAGCCTTCAGGGCTGGGGAGGATATCCGGGCCCTCAGGAAATCCCCGCCATATTCCTTCCTGCGTCCCAAGTGGTCCCTGGCCTGGAGCAGAACATCCAGCCGGTCCCCCCTGCAGTATGTGTCTCGTGGGTGGAGGATGGTGGCTGTGCTATGTGTGGCGCTGGTGGTGGAGCTCACATGGGTGAAGGGCCGGGCTGGGATGAGCTTGTCAAGCTCCTCCACGATCCTCCTGACTCTCAGCTCAGGCACTGCGGGTGTGGGTGCAGGTCCCAGGAGTGAGGCAGTGTTGGTGAAGTGGGTCTCTCTGCACCACTGTGAAAACCAGGGGAGAAAAGGTGTTTGAACTAGATAGAGAACCGGATGCTTATCAGGTTATTTGTACTTAAAGCCTAGAATACTTTTTTTGGGAAAAAGAAAACAACCCTAGGAAAATATTAGTACAGGGGGAGGGGGAGAGAGAGAGAGAAGGGAGGGAGGAGAGAGGGAGCAGCAGGTAAGGCAAGCCCAGGTTTGATCCCCAGCACCACACATGAGCCTCTGAGCACCACCAGGTGTGGCCCCAGACCTTGAGGGAAAAAGTGATTATTTTTTTCTATTTCACCTTTTATGCTTCACTTAAACATTCTATGCGATTAGTGCTTTTCAGATTTTTTTATTAAGAATATGACAGAAAAACATAGGTTTACCAAATATTCATTTTTTTTCAAAATCACAAAATAGAGGATGTCAAAATTCTATCAGAAAATCAGTCAGAACCATGGCAATGATAATTGATGCTGACATTTAAAAAAAGGCAATGTCATTCAGGTTGGGGATATATAGAGAAGTGGTAGGATGCATTCTCACCTGTTCCCACCTTGAGCATCACACCTATGAAATAAAATCAAAATTTCCACAAATTTGTATGTCTTCTTAAAAAGAAACATCTCTACCTTATCTCAAAGACCTATGTGCTCTGTATTCCAAATCATAATGCCCAAAGGGAAGGAGAGAGAGAAAGACAGAGAGAAGAAATATCCCACTCTGGTGAGAAATTTGCTTTGCATTTTTCATATTTTCTAAGCATTTTTATATTTCAGTTCTTGTTAAAAAATTCATAAAAACAATGCCCAAGGTCATGGATTGTTAAAAGGTTACACCAGAGAGAAGAAAAGTACTTACAGGGATGGGGGCTGGAGGGAAACTGGGACATTGGTGGTGGGAAATGTCCACTGGTGAAACTATGGGTATTGGAACATTGTATGACTGAAACCCAGTCATGGATAACTATGTAATTGTCTGTCTCAGTATGATTCAATTAAAGAAAATAATAAAAAGACCTATGTGTTATTCCTGCCTATTTCAGTGGTCTTACCTATTTTCATCTTTTGGACAAGTATTGATGGCATTCATTTAGCTTTTGTTGGAGTTCTATAAAGCCAAATAGGCATTGCAATTTGGGAAGATCTCAGAAACGTAAATACTGGGCAAAGGTGGCAAACCTTTGTTAAAGTTCTTGGTATATGCAGTGAAGTTGCAGAGAAGTGCACCCTGCAGCAAGTGAGAATTCTCATGATCCCAGAGCACTCTCTGTTAGGGATGAAAGCCTGGCTTTACCTCTGACCACTCTGTACCTGCTGCTTATTTATGTTTTATTTTATTTTAATTGAATCACCGTGAGATACACAGTTACAAAGCTTTTGGGTTTTAGTCATACAACATTCCAACGCCCATACCTCCAACTGTTGTACATTTCCCACCATCACTGTCATCACCTGACATTTAATTCCTTCCCCTCATCATCTAAAATTGTGTCAGGAAATGAAATACCTTATCTTATTGTGAAGATTAACAGGATAGTTTATTAAAAGCATTGAAACTGGGACTGGGCATATACTACAGGCTTGCTGTTGCTCTCTTTATTGAGAAGTAAAAATGTATATATTCATGGTATAAATGTTACAGATATTACATTCTATTTATTATATACTATATATTTGGTCTTTTGGACAACTCCTAGCTGTGCTCAGTGATCGCTCCTGGTGGGTTTGCAGGGGGAAAAATGTTTTGCTGAGTGTAAGGCAAGCTCCTTACCCAATGTACTTTCTGAGAGAGCCCCATAAAATATTTTTTAAATCAATGTGTCTTTTAAAATTTGTGGTAAGAGTCTTCCAAGCTGTGTTTTAAGGACCACTCCCAATACTACTTGACCCACTGGACTTGACAGTCCAGTATTGGGATGTTGGGGACTGAGTCATCACCCCGGTCCTTAAAAAACATTTTTTGGTGGATGGTCACACCTTCTGGTGAACTTGCTGTGAAATTACTCAGGGGCAATTTCAGAGTCTCTGGGGTACATGGGGGGGTTGAACCCCAGCCTCCTGCTGTGCACAGCATGCCTTCATTCCACTGAGTTCTCTCTCTGGCTCCCCTAAAATAGAAACCCATGCATATAACTCTCCCTGGCTCCCTGTGGGAGCCAAGAGGCAGAGTCACAGTTGTTTGTGCTGAGGTGTGAGTGAACACCAGCAGGGAGGCTGGACAGGAGCAGGAGGGCGGAGCTTGGCAGCCTCAGAGCTGAATGGGGGAGGAACTCCCTTGCCTCACCCCAATGTGCTCTTGCTGGAGGAAGGAGAGGCAATCACCAGGTGCTAGCAAAACTTCTCTGACAGTGAATTCATGTCAGGGTCAAGTTCAGAAAAGAGACCCAAGGCAAAGAGGTCAGAGAAGTCAAAAAGTTATACTTGGTAACATATGTACTGGCTGTCCAGGGAGAGATGCTAGACCCTGTTTGGAGGAAGTTTTTTTGAGACTTTGGTAAGTAAGTAAGAGACTTTGCCATTTTGTGTGCAAGTAGAAAACCCAGCTTCCAAGAACACAGCAGTAGTAGCAGCAATAAATATTAATAAAAATAAATAAAAATAAAGTGCCCATTGTAAATCTAACAAAATATCTGTAAGAATGGTAAGCAAAGTGATAGTACGTACATACCACAAAATCTTGAGATGACCCGAATGAACAGAGATATTGAATGTTGTTAAACAGAAAAAATACTATTAAAGTGTTAGTTTTTCCAATTTAATCTAATGGTTAACGTAAGGTCCATATAATTTGGAGGAGGGGATCGGGGTTGGGGCCCCACCTGGCAGTGCTCAGGGCTTACTCCTAGCACTGTTTTCAATTTTTGCTCCTCATGGGGCTGGGGGACCATATGTGGTGCCAGGGATGAACACTGGTTGGCTGCATCCATGAATGCAAAACAAAACAAAACAAAACAAAACAAAAAAACAAAAAAACAACCCCTACCTATGGTACTCGGGTCGGCCATGTTGGCCATTTGTAAGGCGAACGCCCTACCCGCTGTGCTATCGATAGCACAGCGGGTAGGGCGTTTGCCTTACAAGTGGCCAACATGGCCGACCCGAGTTCGATTCCTCCGCCCCTCTCAGAGAGCCCGGCAAGCTACCGAGAGTATTCGATATGCCAGACACAGTAACAACAAAGTCTCCAATGGAGACGTTACTGGGCCCACTCGAGCAAATCGACGATCAACGGGAGGGCCTTTACCTTTACCTATGGTACTATTACTCCAGCCCAGGCCTATATATTTCTTAACTCAGAATTTTGGGTCAAATTTGACAGGGGCACTTTAAAACATGTAAGAATAAGGGATCAACTAGATTAAGTAACTTACAAGTTTTTAAGATTAATTACCAAGCAATTAATTCAGGGTAAAAAAAGATGAGATCCCAGAAAGGAAACTGAACTAATTAGAAATTTTGATATATTAAAAAAACCCACAAATAAACCAAATGCCCAAAGTCCATGAGTGACAGGGTTAAGTGTTTAAAACAACCTTTAAAAGTTTGAAGTAAATGGCTGGGATGAACCTTGGTGATGATGCATATGCCTGGGCTGCGTCTCTGGTTCCACAAAGCAAAAGAGGAAAACAAACTCTCTATATATCTCCCCAAAAGAGTTTAAGTAGAATATTTACACAAGTAATCTGATGGTAGAGTGGGAAAGCTCTTCTTAATGCTCAGAAATCATGAAAAAAAATGACCTAATAGTAGTAAACTCCAAAATATTTTATTCCTCAGCAGTTTCCTTAGGTGAAAATTCAAGTGGACTACTAGGAGAAAATTAGTGAATGTGAAGAACAAAGGGGTAATGCTCACATGAGCTCTCGCACACCCTACAATCCTCTTCACGTTGGGGAAGATTTTATCAAGTAGGGCTGGGGAGGGATGACAGTGGGGAGGGTGCTTGCCTGGCACATGACTGATGACCTGGGTTCAATCCCTGACTTCCAGTCCCTGAGCACTGCTGGCATGATCCCCCAAACCTGTCCACAAGTGTACTTCAGTAAAACGTCTTAAGAAAGCAGTCATTACCTCTGTGGACTTCTGATACACGGTGTAAGAGATCCAGACGGCTGCGAGGAGCAGGAGTATCAACAGCGACTTGGGAGTTACCACATTCATTATCGTAGTGAGGGTCCTAGAAGAATCAATGTCAAAGCAGGTGCACACAGAACACCGAACACACAGGAACAAACACGGCAGTGCCTGGAACCTTTATAGTGATTGTTTTATTCCTTATTGTTTTATTGCTGTTCCAGGAACTGCCCCAGCTCCTCTCCTCAGCCATGTAGTCACCCTGAACTCTCACGAAACTCGATCAACAAAGAGCGGAAAACACAGGTTTTCTCACATCGAGAAGTCTTCAGCCCAGCAGCGTCCTCACAGATTTTCTGTTCTCTTGATTTAGACACAAAATTACAGACACTGAGTCTGGTGATCTCTTCACCCCAGGGTGCCTTTTACTGTCACTTGATTTTCCCAGCACGCTTATGACAAAATCCTTATGACCTGTACCCTTTTCTTGTGTTAGCAGCTTTCCTAGTACCCCTTAAGCTAAAAAAAAATTATTTTTAAAACTCAACTTTCTGTAAAACTTTAGGGATTGGTTAGCCTTTCCTCACCACCAGCCCCCTGATTACAATTTAATTTCTGCCACTGTCTGAAATTTCAAGTTCTCTTCTCCAGCTGGTGTGAATTCTTCTGCTCTTCTGAAATTCTCCAACTTTTCTTTCCCTCTTGAACCTCCTGTGGAAGATTCCCAGTGGGTCTGCAGGAATTAGAAGTTATGGCACGCCCCTTCCCCCACCACCAAAGTACTACCACTGCTCTCACCCACTTACCTGATTTTGCAGGTATTTTTATAACCTTCCAGACTGTTTGATCCTAAGCAGCAGCTTTCTGATGAGCTGGATGTTGTGTTGAGCTGTTGTTTTGAATCCGACAGTGTCCTAGTGAGGTATCTCTCCTTGGTGATGAAGCAAATCCCCGGGAAAAAGTGGAGTCTGCATACTTTCACCTGGGAAACACCAGCCTCTGCCTGCGGACATAGAACTGGTAGGATTGCTCCACCTTGAGGAAGACGCAAATTCAAATGGAAAAGTTCATCAGTGCTGGCAGAGGTGGGAAGAGAAGTGAAAATACATTCACTGTGAGTTTTTTTTTTTTACAAGCAAGAATGGCTAAGAGGGATTATTCATATCAAACAATACAAAATAAATTGTTTAGGTCCATGGGCTGGAGCAACAGCACAGCGGGTAGGGAATTTGCCTTGTAAGTGGCTGACCTGAGTTTGATTCCCAGCATCCCATATGGTCCCCTGAGCACTGCCAGGAGTAATTCCTGAGTGCAGAGCCAGGAGTAACCTCTGTGCATCACTGGGTGTGACCCAAAAATCAAAAAATTATTTAGGTCCTGCTTTGGGGCCAGGCTTTGGGATTCAGGGTGGAAATTTGAAATATGATGGTGGGAAGGTGTAGTGGCGGTGGGATTGGTGTTGGGATATTAAATGTAATACATTATTTTAAACAAATTTATAAAAATTGAATTAATTAAAAATAAATAATACAAAAAAAAGAATGGCTAAGAAATGTGGGCCTCTCTTCTCCCCCACCCCCAGGCCCTACTCAGATGGCAGAAACCCTATTCACGTCCCGGCAGGTGAATAAACATTGCTCCCCCCATCACTTCCCTTCAGCTCACTTGCTGGGAGAGATCAGTGGAGACCCAATCAAGCAAGCTAAGGGGTCACCCCAAGCCTCCAGATGGGTCCAGGAAAATAGTACAGAAGTTAACTCTGGTTTGATTCCCAGCACCTTGAGATCCCCAGCACCTCGCTGGGGCAGCCTTGGAAACCCCAAGCATGGCTTGGGTGGCACTCCAGTAATCCCTGGCACCTCAGAGCAAGAGCAACGTCATCCCCTCAGGTTTCACACTGACCCCAGCCTGGTTGGTCAGAAGTCATGGGGGAAATGTCCTCTGGTGAAGGGTCGGGTGCTGGAATTTTCTATGACTGAAACCTCATCATGAACAACCTGGTAACTGTAAATCTCATTGTGATTCAATTTATAAAAGGCCATTAGGGTGGCCCCTGGGCCTTTTGTGCACTTAATCACTTAACTTCCCGTTAGTCATCGATTTGCTCAAGCGGGCGCCAGTAACGTCTCCATTTGTCCCTGTTGCGTGCTAGTGTAGCCCAATGGCATCTGTTCGCTCCGGGAACATGAAGGGCCTCAAACCGATCGTTCATGATCTTGACGAAGAAGTCTGACCATCTGGTAGGTGGGCGGCCACGCTGTCTTTTGACATCCCGTGGAATCCAATCAGTAACAGCTCTAGTCCAACGGTCGTCTTTAAATCTCATTACGTGACCAGCCCATCTGATTTTTGACACCTTGGCAAATGAGACAGCGTCCCTGATCCTTGATCGTCGATGGATGTCAGAACTCCGGATTCCTTCTCTCATTTGAGTGAAACGTGATATTCCAAGCATAGCTTTTTCTATTCTTCTTTGGGAGACCTGAATAGCGTTCTCATCTTGTTTGCGTAGGGCCCAGGTCTCTGAGGCATATGTTAATGCAGGAAGAACAGTGGAATCAAAGAGATGTGCCCGGAGCTGGAGGTTCTTCGTCCTCTTAGCTATTTCTTCGACGTTCTTGAAGGCGTTCCAAGCCGCTCTCTTCCTCCTTCGCAGCTCGGGTGCCAGGTCATTTGTCATGTTGACCTCTCGACCTAGGTACACATAGCTGTTGCATTCGGAGATGGTCGTTCCATTGAGAGCAAATGGGGCATCAGGAACAAGGCTGTTTCTCATAAACATTGTCTTCATAAGATTCAGCTGTAGTCCTGCCTTTCCACACTCACGGTCAAAGTTGGCCAGCATTTGTGCCGCTTGGCTGATGTTTGGTGTTATTAAAACAATGTCATCAGCAAAGCGGAGGTGGTGTAGTTGCCGACCATCTATCTTCACTCCCATTCCTTCCCATTCTAGTCGTCGCATGATGTTCTCGAGGGTGGCACTGAAGAGTTTCGGTGAAATGGTATCACCCTGCTGCACCCCTCTCTTGACATCAACGATCACTTCTTTGTAGAATGGTGAGATCCTGGTAGTGAATCCGCAATACAGCTCACGGAGGATCCTGATGTATTGGGCTTGAATGCCCTGATTGGCTAGGGCTTCAATGACCGCTTCCATCTCAACAGAATCAAAGGCCTTCTTTAAATCAATGAACGTTAAGCAGACCAGCATCTTGAACTCCCGAGAAACCTCAATGAGCTTGGTTATCGTGTAGATATGGTCAATGGTGCTGAATCCTTTGCGGAACCCTGCTTGCTCGCATGGTTGTCCTTCATCTAGTGTTCTGCCAATCCTATTCAGGATGACTCGAGTGAACAACTTGGAGATGACAGACAATAGGCAGATCGGGCAATAGTTGCCAATGACATGGATGTCTCCCTTCTTGAACAGTAGTACGGTCCTGCTGGTTTTCCATTGGGACGGAACCTTGCATTCAGACAGGTAGGGAGTGAAGAGCCGAGCCAGTGTATTGATGAGTACTGACGGCAGGTTCTTCAGGTGTTCAGGTCTGACCTTGTCAGGGCCGGGTGCTGTTTGTTTCTTTACCGACGAAATGGCATGTCGGATTTCGGAAGGGAGAACGTTGGGAATGACATACCCATCCTGTGGAATTTGGTATGTCGGCAAGTGGACATGGCTATCGAAGAGATTTGAGTAGAAGTCATGGATAATCTTCTCCATTGCCGTTCTGGAGGATGTGATGGATCCATCAGGACGTCGGAGGGCAGTCATCTTGGTCTTATAGTTGGTGAAGGACAGGCGGGCGTTACGAATACTTTTCTGGGCTTCTGCCGCATCTACCAGTACTTCTGCTCTTCTCTCTTTGAGGTCTTCCTTGATCGCATTTCTGCACTGCTTTGCGAGCTCAGACGTTAGCTTGCGGTTGCCTGAGGCATGTGCCAAACCACGCTGGCGAATTAGCTCAAGAGTTTTCAAAGATAGGTGATTTTTTGTGGCTATCTCTCTCTTGGCGTTCCTCGCACATTCATGGAGGTGCTGAACCAGTCGATTGTATTCCTCGTCAATGTTGTCAACAATGGCATCTTCCCATGTTGCCGCAATAGTACCAAAGAGTTCCCAGTTGGTGGTCATTCTGGGAGTTCTCTTTTTGAACTTTGCAGCCCTTTCTCCCCGCTCTGTGAAGTAGAATTTTGCACGAAGGAGACGGTTGTCCAATCCCGTTCGAAATTTTGGGACAACAGCGACATCAGTCAGGCAAAACCGTCGATTGAATATGATGTGGTCTATTTCGTTGTGGAATCGTCCACCGGGAGACTCCCATGTCCATCGTTTAGATTCTGCCTTCTGGAACTGTGAGTTACCATGAATGGTCTTGGTCGACATGATGAACTCAGACAGTGCAATTCTTTGGAATCCCTCCCACTCTCCCCTCTGCATCCCCTGCCCTGCTCACCACCACCCCAAAAGCTAGAGTGTCATGTTGAGGTCAGCGCCCACTATTCTTGTCTTCTGTCCTGAAACAACATGGGGAGAGCAGGTGGGGAGAATACTACAGGGATGAGCCTTGTTGGGAGCAAGTGATTTGGAGCAGAAGAAGCTAAAGGGACATCCTGGGAACATGGATGGGAGACACTGGCGGTGGCTGGGTAAGAGGGGCTGGTACCTTCTGGGAGCAACAAGCTAAAGCAGAGGCCAAGTTCATCAGCATGAGATGAGGGCGAGAGGCAGCCAACAGGAGCCCTTCTCCACCGAAATCAGTCTCAACACCTGTTCCAGGAAACTGAGGCAAAAGGAGGTCGGTACATCTGGAGTCTACCAGCTGGGCAGCACTGAGTGTCTTGGTCTAAAGTCAACTGTGCACATGCCCAGGGTCACACAGCCCTGGGGAGAACCCTTGGAGGCTGCATCCCAGGGAAATGGCCTTTATTCAAGTTGTTTGTCTGGGCCATGAAATAAGCAAACTCGGAGCATCCTTCAGCAACTCAGCTTGGGGGTAATCTGCGCGGAGTTACTCCGACATGTCTCTGGAAATGTTTAATTTCCAACAAAAACCAGGTGCCTGATGAGGGAGCAGAAAAGCATGACTCACCCCCTCTCCCCACCCCAAAAAAGCAACTAAAACTATTTCAGTGCAGGCCAACCGGTTAGATTTCATAGCCAAAATCTCTCAACCATACTATACATGTGTTCAAAGAACAAAGGCAATTCTGCTTAAAGAAAGAAAGGGAAGGGGCCCAGGGAGTGGTTAGATGGCTCAAAAATAACTGAGTGGAGTGATAGCACAGCGGGTAGGGCCTTTGCCTTGCATGCAACTGAACCAGGTTTGATCCCTGGCATCCCCCCCGAGCACTTCCAAGAGTAATTCCTGAGTGCAGAGCCAGGAGTAACCCCAGAGCATTGCCAGGTGTGACCCAAAAAGCAAACAAACAAAAAAACCACCTACGAACATGTGGGAGGCCATGAGTGCCTGGTGTGGCCCACACCAACAAGTCGGTGATCACCACAGCAGAATACATACAAGCAACATGCATGACTGGGAGCATAACCCTGGCAAGGTCAGAGGCAAGCCCAGCAAGCCTGAATGCAGGACCTCAAGCGAACTTGTGGCCAAGTGTGCAGAGCAGCACAGACCAGTGTATGGCCCCTGGCAATGAGTAACAGTGGTCACAGCAGCAGGAAGAGGAGAGGAGATAGCAGCTTCTGGTTCTCATCAAAGATGGGGGCAGAGCAAGGCAGAGCACAGAGGTACAAACCCGCATCTCGCATACAGCAAACTTTTTCTTTTTTCTTTCTTTTTTTTTTTAGGATTTTTCTCTCTAGCGATAGCACAGTGGGTAGGGCGTCTGCCTTGCACGCAGCCAACATGGCCGACCCGAGTTCGATTCCTCCGCTCCTCTCGGAGAGCCCGGCAAGCTACCGAGAGTATTCGATAT